GGAATGCAGGCACAAGCACATAATGGACAAAATGCAGGCACAAGCACGTAATGGACGGAATGCAGGCACAAGCACATAATGGACAAAATGCAGGCACACGCACGTAATGGACGGAATGCAGGCACAAGCACATAATGGATGGAATGCAGGCACACGTACGTAATGGATGGAATGCAAGTACAAGCACGTAGTGGACGGAATGCAGGCACAAGCACGTAATGGACAAAATGCAGGCACACGCACGTAATGGACGAAATGCAGGCACATACACGTAATCGACGGAATGCAGGCACACGTACGTAATTGACAGATTGCAGGCACACGCACGTAATGGACGAAATGAAGACACACACACGTAATTGACAAATTGCAGGCACAAGCACGTAATGGACGAAATGCAGGCACAAACACGTAATCGACGGAATGCAAATACAAGCACGTAACGGACAAAATGCAGGCACACGCACATAATGGACAAAATGCAGGTACACGCACGTAATGGACGAAATGCATGCACACGGACGTAATGGATAAAATGCAGGCACACGCACGTAATGGACGAAATGCAGGCACAAGCACGTAATGGACGAAATGCAGGCACAAGCACGTAATGGACGAAATGCAGCAAACGGTAATTTTTTTCAAGACAGCTGGAGACTTGCGAGGATCAGGCAAGGATTACAAACAACACAAGTATGCACACAACACTGATTTTGGGCTACGATTCTACAATTATTTACAGCAGCGGACAAACAAGGGCTATTCACAATACTGCAGAGTATGCCGGGAGATGTAAATGAGCGCCGTTATATGGAAGCCAGTCCGTCAGCTCCACAATATAAAAGAATCTCTGCAATTTATATAAATGTAAGTGCTTAAATGTACACAAAAATATTTAACAAGTTACTGAAGCCATTTCAGTCAACATTTGTGCACTTCAAATGTGGAACCTTTAATACTCTCTTTGAGCATTTCTCTTTGGGATCAATTCAAGAAATGACAAACCTAAAATTCAAAGATTACTACAAGGTACCTTTCACTCAAGATTCACAAATGTCAAACAAAATTATATTAAGATTTTTACTGTCATAATAACCATTTAAAGAGTTACAGCAGAGATTTGAGCTACTGAAGACTAACATGGTTTTCCTGTCAGGACAATGATGAGATGATGGACCATTTATTTAATTTCCTGTTTATTTGTAAAGGAATTTTGGGAGGAGTTACATAGCCGGGTGGAGGCCAGACTTCCTGTCATTTTATAGCATTTGTAATTGTAATTTTCTTTGATTCTTAGAAAACACATTATAAACTCTTAAATCCATGTATTTGCCAAACCCATTTGTATTATGCAAGGGTCATGTGGTCCAGAGCGTATCCCAGAAGCGAATGACCCTGGAGGACAGAGCACCAGCCCTTTACATCCAAAGCAACTTAAAGGACAAGATTATGCATCGGAATAAAATAAAGGTCAAAAACATGAAAATATAGTACAACAAAGATCTGCTGAAGCCTTGCACAAAAAAATTGTACAGATACTTTTAACCAACTTAACAACAGGGAAACTATCTTCTACTAATTTCCAGTCTTTACTGAGAAATACAACATTTAAATGCAGAAATGTATAGACAAGTAGAGTATGTGTACAATTCTGAGTTAATCAGCTAGGAAAGATCAGTAAGGGGTTAAGTATTGGGGAAGGTCAGATTTGAGAATTTTCTAGAATAGCAGAATGGTTTAGTAGTTTTCATTCAGACGGGAGTTCATTCCACTAGAGGGACTGAGGTTAAAAGCTCAGTTTCTGGCCCTTCAATTCTGACAAGGACATAATCTACAAATACAGATCAGACAGACCATAGTGGGGAGGGTGTGTTTTGATTGCGATCTTTAGTTAGGATACAGCTTGCTCTCCAGCAGCCCAGAGACCCAGTACAAGGGATTTGAACTTAATCTAACCTTCGACTAGTGTCCAGAAGAGGGAGCTAGAGGTAAGAATATGTAGGCAAGCTGATGACAATACTGCAAAAGTTTTTTCATAAGCTGAAACGATCACATGGTACATGCTAATGATCTGACTGAAGAGGACGTTGCAGCTGAAGCTGACATGGACTAGCACTTGGGTGGTGAGGTGTGGCTGAAGCCACCATCTGTTGTTAAGCTAATCATTTCCACCAGTAATCTTGTTATAAATACAACTGGAAAAACCCAAGTTCACATGTGTTCCAATTGGCCTGCTGATCTCACAATCCCAGACATCCATACTTGACAGGTTGCAGACTGAGTTAAAGTCCTAGTGTTCCATTGTTTACTCTGGAATCTGAGCTAGATCACATGCTCTGTAGATAGAATTTAGTTCTTTTAAATGCAACTTATGCTGTTAGCACTAGTATCAGCATAAAAGTCAGACTAACCCTTTATCTGTGTACACCAATACGTACAGCTTTATATTTAATAACTGAAGCCCCACGCAGCCGGGTGGGCACCACTACTCTGTCTATACTACATCAATCCCACCTCTTTGTCAATCAACAAGTGCTCACATTCTCAGGCAGCCCTTTGCACCTGTTACAGCTGTCTTCTGTCACAGTTAGCGATTCACCTCTGAGGGCAAAGGAATAAAACAGCCACAGGCTATCAGATTTGGGTTCCTGTGGTACTTATGGTGAGTGACCTGTTCAGATTGAGGGTGCCGCCTTGCAAATCTGACCGCACTTTGGTCTTTGTAAGTAATCTCCATGCTAATCAAATACATTACAGACAAATACTGTAAATGTTGCTGTATGTTCTGAGCCTACATCTTACAGACCACTATGGATCATGTGGATTCTGGTATAAGCAGATTCACAGAAATCCTTGTATTAGACTGTAATTAACCCATTTATTAGAGTCATATAATCAGTACACAAATACTGTACACAGAAAATAACAGTCTAAGAAAGACTATGAACACCATGCAATTAGTGGAGGTTACATTCACATTTACAACAACTGCATATTAAAATGAGATTCATTACACACTGATTACAGCCAGGAACTGAGAGTGAACTGAGTGTAGTTGTCCCTAAAACCACAGGTCATGTCTGCTCTAGAATGGCTCATTATCACACCATTAGAGTGAAAAATATCTTCTTGTTCATGTTTGTTCTGTAACCAGCTTGTCTAGTATAGAAGATCTTGTAAAAGTTTTTTTAGGGCAATTGTTTGTAAAAAGGCATGGGATAATCATGCAGACTAAGATACCGCTGTGAAGCTTATCTCCTGTCCGATAAGCCTTCATGGTCTCTTCGAAAGACGTAATTCAAACTTATTCATCATATCTGAAAAGGAGAGGTACATTATGGGCAACCCCCCCCCTCCCAATGATTCAGTGGGTTTGTTTACAAAGCATCACCAGGTGCCATTATGGCCCGAACAGTTTAACCACACGCATTTTTACAAACTAACCATAACCAAGACCAAGGCACAATATATACAAAGGTCATTTTTTACAAGGAATCCACATGAGCTGTCTTACTATCACTGGGTAGTGATTTTACTGCTGAACTATAAAAAAAACTTATGAAAACTATGTCACTTATCAAGAGTGAAAGTGTCCCAACAGGCACCTAACAGCTTTTCCTATTTTCTGGTGTCTGGTTTTTATCCTTGTCTGATAGGCTGACAGCATCCATGTGCCCAGGAAGACCCTCCTCCTCCTCCTCCTCCTCCTCCTCCTCCGATGATTGGCTGTCAGACTTGGGTGATTGCTGATTGGTGTCAGGCTGGAATTTGGAAATAAACTCTTGGCTGGCGAAGGCAAACTCTGGCTTGGCATGGTTCTTCTTCACGTTCTTGTGTGTCTCAAACCGTTCTGGGGCAGCAAAACACAACATAAGCCAAGATCAGCGACACAAACAGGCAGATCAGTGTTGCTGGGTGTGTCTCTTCTTACCTGGAGCCATTAATAACAAAAAATATTTTTTTTTCTCAACAATTAAAATTTTAACTAATAACGGCCATATTTAGGCTGTTTACCATTTGAACAATCCCTTCTTAAAAGAAGGTCCATCCATCCATCCATACATCCATCCATCCATCCATCCATCCATTTTGGACTTCAGGAGACTGGAACACAATGGTCACCATCTTATCAGCATCAATGGTGAGAAATGGAGGCATTTCAGAAATTCAGAATCCTAGGAGTCCATCCCAGGCAAGACCTGTCATGGTCCATCAATAGCAAACAGGTTGCCAAAAAAGGTCTACAGAGGTTACATTTCCTGAGGAGTCTGAAGAAAGCACAACTGCCAAACAGCTGCTGGTCAACTTTTGCAGATGCATCACAGATGCATCAGGCTCTTACCTCCAGGGGAAATGGGCCCCAGCAGCCTGTTCAGCTGCACGTTCCAGTGTTTTACGTGACAGCTGGCTTTCTCCAGCTTCTTCTGAGCCTCCTGCATGATAGTCGGGGGGTGACACAGTACGTCAAAGCTGGGGTCACACAGACACATGCATATATACATACATACAGACTCAGACACATACATATATACATACATACAGACACAGGCACTTACACACACATACATATATACATAGACACACACAGACACAGGCACACACACATATACATACATACAGACACAGACACATACATATATACACAGACAGACACACATAGGCACTTACACACACAAACACGCACAGACACATACATAAATAATAAAAATAATTGATACTTTTATTGATCCCTGTGGGGAAATTTACGCCTCCCCCAACTTGCTCTTTGCAGAGTAAGCTGTCTGAAGGGCAGCCATCTGTAGCAGAGCCCAGGGAGCTGGGGGTTAAGGGCCTTGCTGAAGGAGCCACAGACATGCTGAAGCTGGGTTCAAACTGGCGATCTTCTGATCAGAGGCACACGCGCATGTAGGGTACGCACACACACAGACACACACGCGCATGTAGGGTACGCACACACACGCACACACAGACACACACACGCACACACATGCGCATGTAGGGTACGCACACACACACACACGCACACATGTTCCCCCAGTTCTGGCAGAATAAATTTCCATGACTTTTCAAATACCACAAGAAAATTTTCCAAAAAATTAAATAAAACCATAAAAACTGGAATAACGAGCAAAAAAGCAGCGATCTCAAATACGCGAAATCTGCCCGGACACGGATGTTCCGTTATAACTATTGACCTCCACTCGTACGTTTCTGTTAGTACGTTGCGGAACGAAGTGGGAAAAAAAATGAACAAGGCTAGTTTCCAAAACTTTTCCATAACTTTTCCTCTCTATCCAAGAATTCCAAAACTTATCCAGGGCCTGGAAGAATTATTTCAAAATTCCAAAACTTTTCCAGGTTTTCCATGACCGTGGGTACCCTGACACACACAGACATACACACGCACACACACACACATACAGACACAGACTCACACAAACACACCTGCTCCCACCCTGCTAGAAAGCTCTTCTCTCCTGCACATACTCACCTCCAGGTGCTGGTGGCTCCTCTCTCGTGTCTCCCTCAGGGTCTGCAGCTCCTGTGAGGCAGCGTCGATGGCGGACGGCTTTGCTGGGGTGGTTATCTCCAGCTGGCTCTTCTGCTGCAGGGCTCCCTGCTCTTCTTGAAGCTTCTGCAGCTGTTTCAGCTTCTCCTCCTCCTCCTGCAGTAGCCTGAAGGATGGAGACAGATGTGCCAGGACATACAGACATGTGTGAAGCAAACCAACAGTGTGTTGGACTTACTGCAGTGTTTCCTTAGGGACCCAGACAGTTCATATTTTTTCGGTCCTTCCCAGCTGCCAAGACACTTTTACCAGCTATTTGGTGTTTTGATTTGCTAGGAGCTGGGAGGAGCAAACATGTAGACTGTTCCCTGAGGAAACGCTACTTTATAATATTGTAGCACTGGAATTGTTTTTACTTGACCCCACACAGCAAAATGGCAAATAATACTGAGTTAGGCAACAAAATAAACAACCCACCCAATAATATTATGCACCCATTTTGACAGTGATATATCACCCATCCAATGCCCTTGTCATCTACCTTACTACTAGGCACAGATATTTTAAATCATCTATGAGCCACCTACCATCATGTGCCCCCTAGTGTCAGCCTATGTGTGTACATGTAAGTGCCTACCGTTCCTGCTCCAGGCGCGCTCGCTCCTCTTCCAGGCGAGCCTGGATCTCAGTGTTCAGTGCCGCCTCCAGCTTCTCCTGTGTCATCTCCAGCTCCTGAATCCTCCTGCGCTGCCGCTCCGCCTCCTTCTCCTTCAAGGTCAGCTCCTCCACCATAGTGTCCCTGGCCTGGCATACGTCAGCAGTGAGATTCATTGCCCTGACGTCAGGGCAGATGCAATGCCTCTGCCTTTCGCTCACCTTCTCAGCCTCTTGCAGCTGTCTCTCCAGCTCCCTCTGCACCTCCCTTTGACGCTCCCTCTCCTTCTCCTCCTGCTCCCGGCGCTTAGCCTCCACCTCCCTCTGGTGCTACATGACACCAACCATAGGGTTAAGCAAAATAAGAATCAATTAAATCTCCTCAGAGAAATTACACTAGCTTGTACACCTGTATTGAGTAAACTATTGGAGATGAATGGATGGATGGACTGATGGACAGAATGATGGATGGATAGATGAATGAATGGATAGATGGGTAAATGGATGGAAGGACTGATGGCTAGATGAATGGATAGATGGAAGGATGGTGCAGACATAGATGAACATTTTCATCATTGTTGCTTTTCTCTGAATGTAGCAATTTAGATCTGTCATTTGGCAGCAGTACAGAACTATAGGCTTTGCCTCTGTAATCACAGAGACGGAGCCTTCATCCTCACCTGGATGATGCTCTCGATCTGTTGTTCCTGGCGCTCCCTCTCCTCCTGTAGCTCCTGCGCCACCTGCACCTCCCCTCGGCTGCGCCGGCTGCTCCCCCTTTGCTCCCGCCGCTTCAGCTTCAGCTCCTGGTGCAGGGATGACTTCCCCTCCCCCAGGAGGCGCAGTGCCGTCTGTATGGCTGTGGGGGGGGGGGGGGGCGACAGATGAACCCCACTACAATGAGGCAGCGTTGCACAGCTGCATGTGCACAGACTCATCAAAAGCCAGCTAAATAACCAAAAATCCACCCGACCTGGGATGTACCCCACATGCCGAGTGGCTATAAATCCCATAACCAGCTCGTGCTAACTCACGTAGCACACTTGATCACAATCATTTTCTCACCTTGGATCCACTCAACGCGCTGTTTCTGATCCGAGGCGCTGATCTCGTAGGCCCGGGTGGGTGTCTTAACACAAAACAGACAGCGCCTGCCCTCCTTGTCAGGCAGGGTCTGAGGAGAAGCAGGAGAACAACTGATGAGCTACTAACACACACACACAAACACAACTAACCCATAAAGCCTACAAACTGCTAATATATACCGATACACATAGCGACACCATCTAACGAATTAAACGCCTATAACAAACAGCTAACATATACCGATACACATAGCGACACCACCTAACGAATTAAACGCCTATAACAAACAGCTAACATATACCGATACACATAGCGACACCACCTAACGAATTAAACGCCTATAACAAACAGCTAACATATACCGATACACATAGCGACACCACCTAACGAATTAAACGCCTATAACAAACAG